TCAACGCCATTTAAGTAAGGGTGGACTACCAACATACTAAATATCCGCCAAATTCCGTTCGGTGGAACATGTCAACATGAAGTCAACATGAAGCATTAAACATTTTGAGCTTTTAATACAGGACACCCATGGTAATTGACATTATACGTTTAAACAAAAAATGCGCAAAAGGGTTTTGTTACTTTTGCGGAAAACTTACTGAAAAAATCATAACTTCTACCCAGTTTCCGGTGCTGAAAAGGACGTTTTTTGGTTTTCAAACAAGGTAAATATTAAACACAGTTGGCTATTGCACAGGAAGACCATGGTCCTTTTTATCAGATTTTTGTTAGCTACATGGGTGAAAAATATATATCTATAGTTGGATTTTTGTACAATAACTTTACAGCCAAAATAGACCCCTTACATCAAACCGTTTTATAAAATCCTTTTATTTTTGAAGTTACCCCAAGCGGACCCTAGGCCTAACCCTAACCGTGGCCCTAGGGTAAGCGTTAGGGTAAGCTCCTAGAAAAACGAGAATCCTTAAGAATATGAAAAGAGGTGCAAAAGGTGGGTATCCGGAAATACTTTAAGGGAAAATATTAATAATAAACTAGGATAAAAATCCTTCGATTTTTGAAGTTACGCCAAGCAGACCCTAGGCCTAACCCTAACCCTAGCCCTAGGGTTAGGGTTGAGGTAAGCTCCTAGAAAAACGAGAATCGTTAAGAATCTGAAACAAAGGGCAAAAGGTGGGTATCCGTAAACACTTTAAAGGAAAAATATTAATAACGGGCTAGGATAAAAATCCTTCGATTTTTGAAGTTACCCCAAGCGGACCAAAGTCCTAACCCTAACCCCCGCCCTAAGGTTAGGGTTGGGGTTAACTACTAGAAAAACGAGAATCGTTAAGAATCTAAAACAAGGTGCCAAAGATGGGTATCCGGAAATCCTTTAACAGACAAATATTAAAAACGGGCTAAAATAAAAATCGCTCGATTTTTGAACTTACCCAAGCAGACCCTAGGCCTAACCCTAACCCTAGCCCTAGGGTTAGGGTTAGGGTAAGCTCCTACAAAAACAAGAGTCTTTAAGAATCTGAAACAAAGTGCAAAAGGTGAGTATCCGGGAATACTTTAAGGGAAAAATATTAATAACGGGCTAGGATAAAAATTCTTGGATTTTATAAGTTATCCCAAGCAAACCCTAGCCCTAACCCTAACCCTAGCCCTATAGTTAGGGTTAGGGAAAGGTCCTAGCAAAACAAGAATGGTTAAGAATCTTAAATAAGGTGCAAAAGGTAGGTATCCAAAAGTACTTTAAGGGAAAAACATTAATAAAGGGCTAAGATAAAAATTCTTGGATTTCATAAGTTGCCCCAAGCCTACCCTAGCCCTAACCCTAACCCTAGCCCTAGGGTTAGGGTTAGAGTAAGCTCCTAAAAAAACGAGAATGGTTAAGAATCTAAAACAAGGTGGAAAAGGTAGGTATCCAAAAGTAAATTAAGGGGAAAATATTAATAACAGGCTAGGATAAAAGTTCTTGGATTTTACAAGTTACCCCAAGCCGACCCTAACCCTAACCCTAACCCTAAGCCTAGGGTTAGGGTTAGGGTAAGCTCTAAGAAAAACGAGAATCGTTAAGAATCTGAAACAAGGTGCAAAAGGTAGGTATCCGAAAATATTTTACGGGAAAAATATTAAAACCGTGCTAGGATAAAAATCCATTGCTTTTTGAAGTTACCCCAAGCCTACCTTAGCCCTAACCCTAACCCTAGCCCAAGGGTTAGGGTTAGGGTAAGGTCCTAGCAAACGAGAATGGTTAAGAATCTAAAACAAGGCGCATAAGGTAGGTATCCAAAAGTACTTTAAGGGAAAAATCTTAAAAACACGCTAGGATAAAAATTCTTGGATTTCATAAGTTACCCCAAGCCAACCCTAGGCCTAACCCTAACCCTAGGGTTGGGTTTTAGGTCGGCTTGTGGTAACTTACAAAATCCAAGAATTTTTATCCTAGCCTATTATTAATATTTTTCCCATAAAGTATTTCCTGATACTCACCTTTTGCACCTTGTTTCAGATTCTTAACCATTCTCGTTTTTCTAGGATCTTACCCTAACCCTAACCCTAGGCTTAGGGCGAGGGTTAGGGTTTGGGCTAGGGTTGGCTTGGGGTAACTTATAAAATCCAAGAATTTTTATCCTAGCCTATTATTAATATTTTTCCCTTAAAGTACTTTTGGATACCTACCTTTTGCATTTTGTTTAAGATTCTTAACCATTGTCGTTTAGCTAGGACCTTACCCTAACCCTAACTATAGGGCTAGGGCTAGGCTTAGGGTTATGGCTAGGGTCGGCTTGGGGTAACTTCAAAAATCGAAGGATTTTTATCCTACCCAGTTATTAATATTTTTTCCGTAAAGTATTTCGGGATACCCACCTTTTGCTCCTTGTTTCAGATTCTTAACGATTCTCGTTTTTCTAGGAGCTTACCCTAACCCTTACCCTAGGGCTAGGGTTAGGGTTAAGGCTAGGGTTCGCTTGGGGTAACTTATAAAATCAAGGAATTTTTTTCCTAGGTTGTTATTAATATTTTTCCTTTAAAGTATTTCCGGATACTCACCTTTTTCACCTTGTTTCAGATTCTTAACGATTTTTGATTTTCTAGGAGCTTACCTCAACCCTAACCCTAGGGCTAGGGTTACGGTTAGGCCTAAGGTCGGCTTGGGGTAACTTCAAAAATCCAAGGATTTTTATCCTAGCCCGATATTAATATTTTTTAAAGTATTTTTGGATAACTACCTTTTGAACCTTGTTTCAGATTCTTAATCATTCTCGTTTTTCTAGGAGCTTACCCTAACCCTGACCCTAGAGCAAGGGTTAGGGTTAGGGCTAGGGTCGGCTTAGGGTACTATCAAAAATCAAAGGATTTTTATCCTATCCCGTTATTAATATTTTTCCCATAAAGTATTTCCTGATACTCACCTTTTGCACCTTGTTTCAGATTCTTAACCATTCCCTAACCCTAACCCTAGGGTTAGGGTTAGGGTTAGGGTTAGGGCTAGGGTAGCCTTGGGGTAACTTCAAAAAGCAATGGATTTTTATCCTAGCCCAGTTTTAAATTTTTCCCGTAAAATGTTTTCGGATACCTACCTTTTGCACCTTGTTTCAGATTCTGAACGATTCTCGTTTTTCTTAGAGCTTACCCTAACCCTAACCCTAGGCTTAGGGTTAGGGTTAGGGCTAGGGTAGCCTTGGGGTAACATCAAAAATCGAAGGATTTTTATCCTAGCCCGTTATTAATATTTTTCCCTTAAAGTATTTCCGGATACTCATTTTTTGCACATTGTTTCAGATTCTTAACGATTCTCGTTTTTGTTAGAGCTTACCCTAACCCTAACCCTAGGGCTAGGGTTAGGGTTAGGGCTAGGGTTGGCTTGGGGCAACTTAAAAAATGGAAGGATTTTTATCCTATCCCGTTATTAATATACTTCCCAGAAAGTATTTCCTGATACTCACCTTTTGCACCTTGTTTCAGATTCTTAACCATTCTCGTTTTGCTAGGAGCTTACCCCAACCCTAACCCTAGGGCTAGGGTTAGGGTTAGGGCTAGGGTAGGCTTGGGGCAACTTCAAAAAGCAATGGATTTTTATCTTATCCCGGTTTTAATATTTCTCCCGTAAAATATTTTCGGATACCTACCTTTTGCACCTTGTTTCAGATTCTTAACGATTCTCGTTTTCCTTAGAGCTTACCCTAACCCTAACCCTAGGGTTAGGGTTAGGGTTAGGGCTAATGTCGGCTTGGGCTAACATCAAAAATCGAAGGATTTGTTATCCTAGGCCGTTGTTAATATTTTCCCCTTAAAGTATTCCCGGATACCCCTCTTTTACAACTAGTTTCAGATTCTTAAGGACTCTTGTTTTTCTAGGAGCTTACCCTAACCCTAACCCTAGGGCTAGGGTTAGGGTTAGGGCTAGGGTTGGCTTGGGGTCACTTCAAAAATTGAAGGATTTTTATCCTAGCCCGTTATTAATATTTTTCCCTTAAAGTATTTCGGGATACCCACCTTTTGCACCTTGTTTCAGATTCTTAAACTTGTCATTCTGTTCTGTTTTTGCCTTGATTTTGTTTGTTGTACGATGTGTTCGTGTAAGGGGAAGTGGGCTTTGTTCCTCGCGCCAAGTTGGCGCGCTTGCGCACCCTTCCTAGGAAAAGCGTGTTAAGTTTGTGTTCTTTCTTGTCAATGGTGGTTCAGCCTTAGTACAAAAAACTCAGGACGACATGCGAGAAGCAGCGGATAGGTCTTGGGTCGATGTATGTTTGGCCCTTGCCTTAACGCACACAATACATCAAAGTAAGCTGCAGTTAGATTAGTTTTTAAGACCGAAAGGAACACAACATGCGCAAATTTCAATAACGATACCACTACGTTTGCTTTCACAGCAGATAAGAAAGTTCCGGCATTTTACTAACATTCTAAACAGCATTTCGTTTAATAACCGTGGTTAACTCTGTCAAAAATGATTGAATTCCATGAAAAAAAAAATTGGTATCTAAGGCTTTTCAAAGTTGACCCTCCCGAAGAAAATTTGAGAGTAAGGGCAGTTTATAGTCAGTCGGGTTATTTTGTGCTTGAAGTAAGGGCATTTTCAACAGGAATCAATTATGGTCTGGGTTAGGGTTTGGGTTAGCGTTACAGCTACCGGCTATTGCCCTTCGCTATGTGCGGCAGGAAAAAATGCCCTTTCTGGCTTCGAGGTGAAAAAAAAGTTTAAAATAGGGAGACTCGTTATTGCATTGTGTTTAATTTATTTTTTCGGGTGTTATAATCACCATTTTCACATAGATTATAATGTACCTTGTTTGCCCCCTAAAATTTTGCAAAACCATTGTTTCCAATTTCTCCAGGGTATCAGAGTCGTCCCAGGAGAAATCGAAGACAATGGGGGGTAAACAAGGTAAATCATGGTCTGTGTGAAAATGGTGAATTAAGCTAATCTGAGAATTTTACAAAGACGTTGTTTATAGTTTTTTTTTCAAAGTAGACAGTTAACCACTTTTGGTGTAGAGATCACAGAAGTACCCTACTCAGAAAAATACATAGATAATGCATGCTTGTAAACGGGACCAGAAATTAAATGCTATTTTATTTTCCTGATACATTAACCAAGTCATTTGACTTCACCAGCCCCCTTTCTTCTTCTTGGGTCGCTGTTTCTTCTTCGCTGCCTGGGGCTGCTGTTGTCTGGGTGGCACCACATTGGCGGCGGCACCTCCTGAAGATGGCGTTCCCGGGGGAGACGCGGGTTTAGGACTTCCGGGTGTTTTCGGACTAGATGACCTACAAGAAATAGAAAAATAAGAATCGTAGACAGTCACATAAAAGTAATGACGAGGTGTCCGCAAATTTGTTAATAGAAGATGTTTTTTTACTTAACTGACAGACGACGAATAACTTCGCGACTTAATTGACCAATCAGATCAATAACTAGAGTTTAATACCATCGACTGACGTGATACAACATACTTTGACTCTGAAGATGACTACCGCATAGGTTGTCGAAACGTCAGTCACTGTCAACAACAACAGTCCTAGTACGATCAAACTCAACCCACTTATTGAATGACTCCTGGGTTTAAACCTTTCACGGAAGATATTCTTCACACGAATTTGTAGCCAAAGATGTATGACTCTTATGCCAAGAAGGATTGTGATTAGGGATCACCCGACGATTGCAAAAATTAAAGCTCGTTGATCAGTTTGAGATGGTCAAATTTTGTAATATCGGGGGAGCGATGATACCAAAACCTGGTTATCTACCTACGGTGCCAACATTGAGAACTATTTCCAATACTAGCATTAAGAAGCAGCCTCTGAGTACTCTGAGGGAGAGATGAGGAAAGAATCCAATGCCGTTTGTCTGAACTCCGACAGAAGGTGGTCATGTACATTAAAATGTTATTAGCCCCACAAAATATATCTAAAAAGGTTTGGCTTTGAAAGAAGAACTTACGATTCTGTGGGGGCAGCGGCACCTTGCGTTCCTTTACCTGTAAAAAGGAAGATAAGGCAACTTAAAACACGTTAGCGTATCGTAATTGGTGGACAAACTATTAAAGAAAGACGGGAGCCATTGGTTTAGCACCCTTACTGAAAAGCGTCGTCAGTCACGACTGTATCAGGACAACCAAGTAAGATTGGAGTGTCAGTCGAACTGTCCTTATAGACACCTCTATAATACGGACACCTCTCAATGACGGACAGTTCCAAAGGACAGCTTCACAAAAAACCTACCTTTATTATTCGGACACTTCTGTAAAGTAGGCACATGACTCTTTGTGGTCCATATTAAGGGGTTTGCATTTACGGAGCTAGTGTAGGGGGTAACCATAGAAATCTAAGTTCGATCAACAATCTCGCTGCGGTGTTAACGGTTCTGGTGTACTGAATTTCGCTGTGCGTAAGTTATTGCATAAATATGAGGGCGAAGGCCAACTAGATATAAAATAAATAAATAAACAAATGAAGACTTTTAAGGGTGACATATCATCATTTGGTGGTTCTTTAACCACATTAGTACCATTCCTGATTGAGTTGAAATTTACCGGAAATGTTGGTTTTCAAGGGCAGGCGAAAACCGGAGTACCTGGAGAAAAACCGCTCGGAGAAAAGAAAACCAACCACAAACTCGACCAACATATGGGGTCGTTTTTTTGAAGAGGGAGTTACAAGGAAAGAAAGAGGGCATAACCGGTACGTACTATACTGCTAACGTACCGAACGCTGACATGACAAAAGTTCAAACAGCACCTCCATAATACAAGGAAGCCTGATAAATACACTGTATACTTGAGTCCATGATGTACGGGTTTAGGTTACTGAATATCAGGGACCTTTAGATTTTACGACGAGGAAGACTTCAGTATGAGATTTTCTCAATACCGAGTAGCGCGCGCGTGAATCAGAATCATTTTGGCGCGAAAACACGATGGCCTTCATCATTCTACTACGAGTTGCAGGGAGAATGTATAGACCTCATTTTTGCAGAAGTAATATTAAGCAGTTTGGTATCCTTTATAGAGGACCATCAATCAGGAATTCGTTGCCAATTTCACTAACCAGCTCTTCTTCCATAATTGTTTTTTTAAAACATCTGAAAAATTATCTTATTGATAGTCGTTCTGTCGCTTAAGTTTTAGGTTTTCTGTACGCTCTGCACGATAGTAAGTAATTAGTAATCTAGCCTAAGGAAGCCTTTTAACATAAGCTCCCAGCTTCTTTAGGCTTCCTTGTCACATTAACTTAAATTTTAATCAACACCTTTTGTAACACCTTTTTGTTTTGTTATGTGAGTGACTAAAAAACAAACGAACAAACAAACAAATAAATAAATAAAGAGTTATCAAATGTTAGAAATCTAATCTTTCTAGTCATCCTCGTCCTTGTCCTCGAATCTAAAAGTCTCTATTACACTCAACCTGTCACCTACCTACAGACGCGCCCTTCTTTTGTCTTTTTCCCTTGTAGTAAGTTCTTTCTCTTTTAGGTATCCATCGCTCGGGGTCCGGATCAACCTCGGAATTGTAGTTTTTCGGTAGTTTTCCTACGAAAAGATGAGAACATTTTCATAGATTTGATCCTCTTTACTCCGCAAGTCAATAGGTCCGTTTCTGAGTTACCTTAAGTCTCTTTTTCAAAGCGAATCCCGGGCCCGATTATATAGGGCAAATAACGATTAGGTTGGAAACTTTTTCTGTAACCATTCCCTGTTTTCCGAAGTATGTTTTCGTGCTCTTTTTGCGCATCCTAACGATCGCAGTAAGTTAAATGCCCCTATTTATTTTAGCGACCAACGATTCTAACCTTCCAACTCTTCGCGTGTTTCGTATCTCGATACACGCACAGCTGTAGCATGAACCATTTGTTCCACAAAAATGCGACAGTTAATTTTGTGTTGCTAAGCTTTAACGCATTGTTCATTTCTCCTTGAGAAAAACACTTCAATAAGCTTTAACGATCTCGGATCGGATTGGAGGCCGACGCTAATTGAAGGATATGTCTAAGACGTGACTAAGTCATGTCGCTGGTCGTTTACCAGATCGTAAGGAAGGAGGCTTTATGTAGCGTACATACCTCTCTTTCGCTTTCTTTTTCTTCTTTTCACGATAATATCCTGCCTGTTACACCAAACAAATATCTTATTACACTGTTATTACAATACCACTCTCAACCTCGTTCCCAGGGTTCTCTTCTACCCGTCCCTTCGAAGCAAGAGAGAGAACCTGGGAACGAGGTTGCACCACTGTTAACATCTTACTGATTATAAAACAATTTAGGTTTCTGGGAAACTGCCCACCTACCCCTCCCTTAAGCAAACTTTTGCCCAAAGCGAGAAGTAAGTGCAAATGTTGGCTTGGGGAGGGGTAGGTGGGCAGTTTGCCAAAAACCTAATTTGATTCCAGCACTCTTCTTTTAAGGTGGCTCGTCCCGTTTAACGGTAACCATAGCTACTCTCGATGCTTCAAACAAATAAGGAAATCGATTGCACCAGTTTTTTTCAATATCAATGCACCCATGGCAACACGGTGAAGCCACTATCATAATTTATCAGAAATGTAGACATTCGTGTTTTCCGACTGTTACTTTGTTTTGGAACATGAAACTCAATCTTTTATGATATTGAAGATTAGCTAACCGGTCTAAAAGCTGAGTCTGCGGTCTTCACAAAACCCACCTCAGTTCCTCCATTTCTGTATCACGGCCTTCCTGCTTAACCCTGGATCGACCATACCGAGACCCAAAGGCATTGTGGGACATCTCTAACTTATCAACGTCAAGCGCTGCATCAGTGGAACTCGCGTCCAGAGGTGTCAGCTTTTCACTGTAACTGTTTCATAACAGCGGTTAAGGAGCTTTAGCTTTCTTTCATTCCCTCATGTGAGAAAGTAATACAACGTTTAGAAATAAAACCAAGACTAAAAGGCCCCTTATGGACTAAGAAAACAACCGACATGTCGCGACACCATCTCTGGTTTTCCGGTGAAATGACATCTGAGGAACGAGCGCAGCAATTCCATACCAACGGCTTGCCCAGATTTGGGTAGTGCCACTTATTGGTGGGAACAAGTTCCCTTAAGGCACGAAAAATTAGAAGCAGGGTAGTGACGCATCATCAGACGTCATTACGAAGGGAAACCTGTGGTGGCGTCGCAAAAACGTCGGTTGTTTTCTGAAGTTAGACTCCTAACAGACGCATCATATTCATAAAATAGGATACTGTTCTGCTTTCTTTGGATTCACTCGAGAATAGGCCTTGATGAGCTGAGCCAATGTCTTCACATCTCTTGGATCTTCCCTTTAATGAAGCAAAAAAAAAAAATAAAATAAAATAAAATAAAAGTAAACGGTGAAAGACTCTATTTTCAAAAAAAGTTAATAGTTACGCCCAGTCAAAGACGTAGGTTTCTTCCTGAAGAACGGTGAGGATAAGGTCTCAAGACGTATGTATTGAACGTTATCACGGCCATTCTATTTAATATTCCCACCTGCTACAGAAGAGGTAAATTAACGTTTACCCCAACCCCCCCAAAATGTATTACCATCACAGTCACCTGCCCCCTGAGAAATAGCCCGTTTGTCCATATTCCGCTTCATAAAGCAAAGACCTTTTCGAAATATTCCAAACATCAAAGGCGCGGACGCAGCAACCCATTCAGAAAAAAAATTGGAAGCCCCGCCCACCTCGGAAAGTCTCACCTTTGGGGTGTTGGGTGGGGTTTGGATAGTAAATGGAATGGCCGTCAATTAACCAGCTGTAGTTTCAAAACAGTGACACCTCAACTGATAAAGAATTACGTCGTTCTTACTTGTGTAACTTCTCCAACATATCTACAGCTTCTTTCGCTTTGCCATGATGTAACTTGTACGCTACATTCTCCCTCATTAGTGTGAGAACTTCAGATTGACGCATCGTGTGCTGGAAAATAAAAAGCTTTCATGTAGTACGTACGAAAAGGTCTGCTGCTCGTTCTTGAATTCTAGTCCACAAGCCATGACCGCCTTTGGCGATATTGCAAAGAATCACGCGCGAGAGGTACGCTGAAGAGGGCCGCGTGTAATGGGGTATCTCGCGTGTTCTACCTCGCCCCACTCTACGATTAGACGGCTTTTCCCTCCATACATTAGCGTTTATAAAAAATCGTAAGGGTTGCCATGACTGAGATAGGTGGACTACTCAGGAATATTCTTCCTTGCTTACCTTGTTCTTCTGCGCAAACTCCACAGCATCATCAAGGACAGTAACAGCAGCGTTGGTGTCACCAAGATGGGAATACATTGTCACTAGAGAAGATACCTTGTTATAAAAGAACAAAACAAGTCAGCTGAACTTGACACACTCTATGTGTGGGTTTATTGGATAAGAACCATCACGATAAGAAACAAGATGATCAACAGGGCGCAAACCCTAGCGTCTTTTTCACCATCTTACACTAAATCTCCTCTTGCTTGTTTGTTTTTCAAACCAAATGACCATGAGGTAAAAAATTGTGTTCAAAGGTCTTGTAACCAGCTTTCTGTTCATTATTATTTATTTGGGTGAGAACTGTCTCCTACGCGTCCCTTCTTTAAACATCTAAACATTTGTGATTGTCTTGAAATAAAAGGCTGGCATTTTGTCGTATTTGAGAGAACACAAAGAAAGTGTAATGACTTACCACTCCAGGTTTGTGAGCGATGTCTTTGATTGAACGTAGCATTGTACAAGCATCCTGAACGTTTCCTGAGAGTTCAAAAGATCGCAACTTCAGAATGAATCAAAGAGTAATAGAGACTGATTCAGCGCAATTTGACCGAGCAGTTTTCTAATCAGTAAGCAGGTAGAGCATGATCATCAGGATGATCGTTTTTCTGAACAGCACTGTTATTGACACAGTGACAGAAGTTTCGACAAACCTTTGTGTAGACTGCGAGCAGTCTCTCTTTTTCTTCAGATTTAGTGAAAGGAATCTACGCGCGCGCGAACGTTGAGCGAAGAAGCCGCGAGACGCGAGAAACGAGGGCGTCTCGTCTCGCGCCTTCAGTCACGCGCGTGGTCATTTACGTGTCTCGGGCGTTTTGCTCGACGGACCAAGAAAAAAGAGAAACTGCTCGTAGTCTAACCTTTGCGGTATTGAGTCATCTTCAGAGTTAAAGTGAGTTAATAATTAACTACCAACAAAATACCTAGGACATTCCTTACTGAGAGACGATTCAGATAATTTCTATATCTCTGTGACTGCTCAAAACAACACAAATTTGCATGAATTATAAACAACAACACTTCAAGACAAGTAGGAAAAAAATACTGGATGGCCCACTGTTATATAAAACAGTTAGTGAAAGAACCGAGACCGGAGAATACTCCACGAAGAATAGGGAAAAAAGAACTCCAGTAACCTTGTGCTAGATAAAGCTGCACCAGTGTAAGCTTAACACTCATTGAAGTATCTTCATGATCGGCTGCATACTTCTGCAAAAAAAAAAAACAAGAAGAAAAAAACAAACGATCAGATTTGCAGGTACCCTGGGTGTCAGAGGCTTTTCATGCGCGGTCTCTGGTTTCCGGCTTCGCCGCTCGTGTCTTCGGCCTTCGGCCGAACACGTGTAGCGGCCTGCGGCCAACGAAACGAAGCTCCCCGACGGACGGGAGAGAAAACCTCTAGTACCCAGGGTAATTTGCAGGAAGCTAAGACAAATGAAGTATAATCAATTGGGCTATTAACATAAAAGGATCTCCAAGGGAAGTCCTTAAAATGTGCCGCTAACTATACATTACGCGAATCCCCAACCTTGGAAAACCATGGGAGTATAAAAAGAGCACAACCAATGGATTTGCTTTGAGGGTAAGAGTAAACGTGTCATGGAAATCTCATGAATGTATATATAACTAATTAATCGTTCTAATGGCATTCATTTGTAAAGCCACATTAATGTGGCAGTTCAAAAGAAGTCAGAGTTTCTGTCCCAAATGAGGTAAGTGTTGAGAGATTAGGGCTGTTAAGCGTTTGGTACCGTAAGCATGTAACGTTCTTTGACGATAACAAGTATCTATTCAGGGTTTATTGTACATGTACCTTAAGCAGCTCCACAGCTTTGTCTGAGTGTTTCTCTCGATGAAGAAGAGAAGCTTTCATAAGGCAAGGAAAGTCGCTGTCAGCGTAATTTGCCTCAAGAGTTGATATCAGGTTACGGCAAGCTTCAAGCTGTTTAGAAAGAGACGTAAACATGATTTCGCTTCTTACATTTTTTCAATCAGTCTCCTTTGCAGCTGTCACTAGAATCGTCACGCAATGCCTCTCTCCACAGTGGGAAGGCGCGTTGCGTGACAAACCATTTATAGGCTACTGGTGAAGACCAGATACCTCTATAAAACAGACATCTCAGATGCCGATTAAATTAGTTCGTTTGGACACAAAACCTCTTTAAGTCCCCACAAGGGGATGGAGACGCCTTGCGGCTGAAATCTTGTAGGATTGGTTGGGAAAGCAATGAACCAAAAAAGTTAACAATGAAACTTAGCCCTTAAACAAAAGAGATGCGACATACAGGGGTCCGATGAAATGATAAGTTTTAAAAAGGTGCGAGGATACTGAGGGTATTGAGATTCGAGAAAGATTTATTAGAAAACATACAACTTAGTTGAAGTTGATTGCAACGCTTTCTATAGGGCTTTCACATGAAGAAGTTGTAAACTAATGAAATGTCTGTCTATACATGTATGTTTTTCCATACTTCATACAAACCTTGCTTCTAAAATATAAATTGTTCTATACATTCCAAAGATAAGAAACAACACAGAATGCCTAGTTCTTTTGTATGGACATTTCTTTATTAATGCCATTAAGATATATTGCACGTCGAACGGCTCTCTGGTGAAGAGAATACAAGAATTACTCATTGTCTTTCTGACGTGTTCTAAGGTGACGTATCGGCATTGGGGAGGTCAAATTTTAAACCAAAGAAGACTTTTTCTCACCTGATTCGAGTAAAAGGACAAAAGACATCTGTTAAACAGTAAAGATTTCTGTTGAGCTGCCGTCAGTTTGTGTTCAAGACCATCAGCAGTGGTTGCCTTAACTTTCTTCTTTGAGTCAAATACATCACGGTCCTAAGATGTAGCAAAAAAAAAACTTTCCATTTTTGGCACAATGGTGTGTTTGCTGGCTAAAACGTATTTCATTGAAAAAAGGTGGTAAATGTTAAGCTTAGTAATGAAAATGAGAAAGATGAATACAGTTATCCTTCTATTACGCTTCCAGCCTTCGTTAACCAGCCACATGTCTCTGGGTTGCTTTCTCAAAGTTTGTGGCTTAACCTTTTCGATCTCAGAGGGAATGATGAATTCTTGTTCGGTGGCAGGCGCGGATCCAGGATTTTTCTTAAGAGGGTTACACCACTAAAGACCTACCATTTTAACTACCACTTTTACGGCGTTTAACCCAAATTCTTCAACCTCGTCCCATGTCTTACCTCAAAACCAATAAACCATAAACAAAGTCTTTTTTTGGGCAGAAGAACAATAAACCGCAGTTCATCTTAAGAGGTAGTGGGGGGGGGGGGGGTCGCACCCCCTACACCGCTAGATCTGCCCCTGGGTGGTTCTAAATTTTGAGTCTGTGGGGGAAATCCCATGATGTGACCATTTAAATAAAAACTCTTTCACTTCTTTGGCACTACTTTCATTGTGCTTCAGCACTTTGTAAGATGAAATTTGGAATTTTTGTCTTGTTCAGTTGGACTTTGGTCACTTCCAAATGTTTCATAGAGAGATTTAATCGAGGGTTGACTATATATGTTACAGGTCAAAATTAAATTCATGTTAAAATTTTTTTAACCTAAGCAGGCTGATTCTCAATATTTTCTTTGTCTCTTAGCCCTAATACTGAATTTCAAATGAGTTTCCAATCCCCCACGCCAAAAAAACAACAACAACAACAACAACAAATCAATGGTTCGTCATTTCCCATGGAGGTATTATTAGTATTGGAAACTGAGTTGATGACAACATTCTTATGAAAATGTCATGTACATAGCTAACCTTGTTCAGTGTGATGATATTGTTGGATGCAACAGCAGCTAAGGCAAGGTCATTTGGTCTGTCACAAGTGAAAAGTAACAAAAAAATAATGTAATAGCTACTGCTACTCAAAGAAGAGTTCTGAGAAGTGCTATGGATGGCTGCAATATTTAAATTATAGGTATGAAAATACTCAAGAATGAATGATGTCCATACTTTGACTTGAGAACTTGATTGTAGAGCTTCTGAGCTTCATCATTTTTTCCTTGTACTTGGTAAGCATAAGCTAGCTGTGTCCTGATAACATGACATAAACAATATTGTAAGTAAAAGAGTGCAATGGAACGAAACATAACTCTGATGACTGGGCTGTGCTTTATAAGGAAGACAGTTGGTCTTCAATGTTCGTTGTTTTCTAGGTTCATTATTTTTCCTACAGTCATTGGCCAAGTGTCTAAACCATAGATACAATCCACTATAACCAGCTACTAAACTTATAATCAAACAACAAAGTGCAACTTTATAAAGTAAGAACAGTATACTGGTGTTGTGCCTCTAGATCTACATGTAGTACTATGTGCATGTACCATAGTTAAGAGAAAACTACACTGCATTCTTAGGCTAAAACAAAACTTCAAGCCATAAGGGATTTGGAATAAAAAGACGAAAAACAAACCTGACAACCCCCATCTCAGCTTCTATCTCTTCTTCTGCTATATCCTGAAGAAGTTATCAAAACGAAGTATATCTTTATAATACACTATGGTTTAGGAAATCTTTGGACCTTCAGATCTCTTCCTTAGTGGGTCATTTTACGAAGACAAAATCCTTTTCTAGTCTACGCCATATATATGCTTTCATGTAACTCTTTACAATAAAAATGGTGCTTACAGCAAATCAATCAGCAAACAAATCAGTTAGAATGGGGTTTTGTTAAACACTGGCTAAACTCCATTTAAATAACTGGCCCTCAATTTCTGGCAAATTGTGAAGAACAACGCCTGCAATCTACTCTCAATTGACTGTTATTCAGTTGTTGGCCAACAAGATGAGGAGAGTTATCAATTTTTCACAACAATTTACCAAATTTCTTATTAATAATACAACCATCGCATTAATGTGCTAGTAATTCTATCAAATATCCACATATAGAACAAAATTTACAATGGACACTTTATTGATAATTTTATGCAGTGTGTTTCAGGGTATTTATTGACCTATACATAGTTTCAATACTCAGATTGTGGGTATTTTAGAATTTTTGTTGAATTTTCATTTTTTTACTTCCTGAAGACTGTAGAAAGGTTGTCAAAAGTTTGTACCCTTTTTTAATCGCTTTAAGCCAAAGGATAACTTAATTATTATTTTTTTCTTATCAACATTTTTCAAAGGTACAATTCACTTAAAAACAGTGAATATTATTACCGGTACACTGTATTTACAAAACTTACAGGGTCATCTTGAAGACTTGTCTCACACAACTCTAAAAAATACAAAAAAGTTTAAATAATAATAATGAATCAGTAATTTTCAAAGGATAATATGGTGACATACATTGTCACATACACTGTAAATGGCTGACCTGTGGATGATCTGTAATATCTAACCTAGGTTAGCATTTAAGTGGTGGTTCAAAATCTAATTTTGCAAAATTTCTGTCTCTGTGTCTGTGTCTCATATTCATTGCCTTGATTTGAAACAAAGGAAAACAAACGTTTTTACACTACTTCAAAGAAATCACCAGAAATCAGAAAATACATGTATGAAACGTGATGTTTGTTAACTACTTGCTGACCGCTTTTGGGAAACTGATAATTCATCAGACTCTTGTGTTTGAGAATCAAGTAACACAGTCAAGGGGGTAAAAATTACGGAGCCAATCCAGGAAAAAGTGTTACGGGCCTAGCAAACCCTTTTTTCAATTAGAACTTTGTTTAAGGGCTTATGGCAAATGTTTCTACAAATAACCAAATTGGGCAATAATAGAATGATTAATTTAATTGAAAATCAACAAACATGTAAATTTTATAGTGCACTGCTGATCCCCTTTTAATATCACGATATGTGATTGGTGCAAGGTGTCAACAAAACCAGGATTGGACTGGATTGGATCAGCCCCTGTAACTCACTAAATGGCAAAAGGTCAGGGTTAACGTTATGGGGCATTCCTGTCCTATCCAGGATTTGTCTGTGGCCATTACTTTGTCTATGAAACCAAACACCACCTACACGGGGAAGCTGACCCTTCTAAATTAAGGCTTATTTTCTAAACTATGCTATAAAGTAAAATGGCCTGAAGATAATTTTCAGAAATTGTCTTTCACACCTTCTGCTTTCTTTAATTTTACTTCAGCAGCTTCTACATCATTCTGTCCCAAGGAAAGACAGGCTGAATTGTAACACAGCTCATATGTATCTTCCCGCAAACCTGGGTCATCCTAGTAAACATAAACAATCAATTAACACGCTGCAAACAAGAAAAAATCTTGAAGTGTGAGGGTATACACTGTAGATGTAGTGGTATTGAGACTATTGGATTGATTGTGGGTTAGGCTAAACAACCAGGGCTTCTGACATCAAATTTGAGCATAATAAACAAATCCACTCAAAAAACACTTTGAGGACACGGATAAAACACTTCATTATGTGAAGAGACTATTTTACAAGAGATAATATTTAACATGACTTATCAAAATCCTATCTAGAAGTTGCTTAGTGACAAATAAAAGTAATCAATGGTATGCATTTGTATGTCCATTGTTTATTACCATTTCCAATCCACCCCACTGAGCGGCGGCAGAAATAACAGCAGCTAGGTTAGTTTCTCTTTCATCGCCGTAGTCGTCCTGCAAACCAAAAATTATCAACTAAATCTTAAACATATGTGGGAATACAGGACAAACACACTGGAAAAAGGCTGTCTCTAAGGGCCGGGGGAAAGGGAATTTCCCCTGGCTGCTATGAGCTTGGGGGCTGCCTACTTTAATAAGAAAAAAATGGAAAATGGAACCAAAAGAACTTCCTTGCTGGACATTTCCCCTTCTACTGATTGTATATACTCGCCTGGCAACTTGAAATTTTAGTGACAGCCCTGCTGGAAACACGCAATAACAAGTGCTATACAAAGATAAAATGAAGCAAAGTATTGAAAAGAAAAATAAAAGGTAATTTTCAGCAATTACCTGAGAATTTTTTATCAAGTCCTTGTACAATTCTAAACATGCCCTGTAGTCTTCAAGTCGGTATAGCTAAAATAAAAACAAGAAAGAACATGTGAGATAAATTAATGAGCAAACTAGAGAATTCAGATCATAGACTGTTGGAGATATTATTATTTTGTTGTGGATTGAACTTATTTTGTTGTGGATTGAACTTAGCCCCTCAACAGTTCCAAGCATAGTGATTTGATAATTTGGAATCAGGTTAAGTAAAATAACACAGATTGGTGAAATAGATAGCAGCTATAACAAAAAAAAATCAAAAAAAATTTAAGTAATGTTATGAAAAATAGATAAAGAAAAAGAGAAAAGAGAGAAGACAGAAGAAAATGGTTTCGATAAAACTATAATTTTGTGGACTGAGCTACACTATAGGGACACCCTAATAGTATGCAGATTGGTTACAAGCAAATGTAAAATTTTATCGGGAAGAAAAGAAACATGATATTTTCAGGCATCACATGCATTGTACTGGTGTGACCCCATCTCATTCCCAGGTTCCTTTCCTCCTCATCCCCCAGAGTGAGTAAGAGCCCATGAGAAGAAGAGGAGTCAGGGAACAAGGTTGATCAATGACCTTTGGATTATAATTATCATCTTGTGTTGTATGTTGTACATAATAATGTGATTTACAGGTTAAAATTAAATTCAGGTTAAAACCCTAGGGCTGACTGTTTGGTAGCCCCAAGTATTCATAACCTAGAGGTAGGAGATAAAGGACATTGAGAATCAAGCAAGACTAAAACAAATTAACCTAAATTTTATTTTAATCACTCACATGGCCAGCATCAATGCAAATTCATTCCAGAACAAATGAAAGTGTTTATATATGAAAAAGTTCAACTACCACAAGACTTGCTCGGAACACCAACATGGCTGGCATGTCATTCTTTTTGGAACATCAATATGTGGCTTAACATCATGAAAAAATTCTCTATATGACTGTGCAAGTAAGAGTTACAAGAGGTGTCCTTTCAGGGAATCACCATTTTTATAAAAAAATTAAAACATCCATACCACTTGTGCTTTGAGTTCTTTCTCCTGCTGTGTAGGCTCATCAATAGCATTCAATATATTCAAAGCCTCCTGGGCTTTGTTAAGGCGATAAAGGCTGTAAGCTTTCTCAAAGCGGAGTTCAATGTTTATCCTGTTAAGAGATAAACAAAAAAGGTTGAATTTTACAGAGATCAATAGACTTTAAGTATCTCCAGAATGAAGTTTTTCGTGTCTAGTTATACTCTGTTGATGAATAATGACTTTTGTTTAAGATGCTTAATATAAATACCAGTTTCATTCCAAGACTTATATCTGTGAGATAAATAATTAGGGACCTTAAGATAATGGCGATAGCAGGTAAAACTTCCCTTAAAAACTGAGTTCGCAGTTTTAATCTTCATTGTGATTTTTCCAACTTGCTTACTTTGTTGAATGTATGCAAACTCTCCTGGATTTGAATTCCTAAGAGCCTTATCCAAAGTAAGAAAGAGAAAGAAAATTATTTTTGGCATTGCTTATTTATGCCCTCTATAAAACATGAAATTAGGTATTCTCAAGTTGTAGTCGTACAAAAATGGTAAAGAAATGTACTAAAAAGCATGATGCACGTGCAAAGTTGTTGTTCTGCTTATTAAACCTATCACTGTCTTTTTTGACATTCTCCATTGCCGTCATCTGATCTTGAGGTCCCTAATAACTTCTTGGAGACTGTTATCAGCCTTGGTGGATAGCAATCTCCCTGAACTGCATTCAGTTTGTTGTATCATTAAATCTCGTTGTTGAGTAGGTGACAAATAATCCACTGTTAGAAGTTAAATTTGCTGGTTACTGGCTAATTTTGTCTGGGCTGTGTGATACACATATATGGAAACCAGCCTTGTTGTATGTGTTGTAGTTAATTTTTTATCTCAGGTAATTTTTATTTTTTCCTTTGTTTTTGGGTATGATGATGTATGCTAATGATTTGAAACAAAGGAAAAACAGAAATTACCTGATACACAAAAATTAACGGCAACATGAACATGCAATTGTTACCGAGAAAGACAAAAGTTCTGCCTGTGTCACAGGCATTCAAGTGGAAGGAAAACACGAAAATTGGTATGCGCAAGCAAAGGAGGAGGGAAACCTGGGTTGCTTGCAATCATATGACCAGGGCTAAACATGAAAGTGATACTTGTATTTAATTTTGTAATAACCCTCGAAGTCAAATTAAAACAGGCATCTGTTAGCCCGCAAATATAGCCATCTCTCCCCAATCCTCAGATATCTCTACACGTCAATGACAGAAATACCAGACTGATAAAGTAAATCAATGATTGCATAATTGATTTGGTAGTCATGGGGTTCCAAATATAAATTTGCTTTGAGTTTATGTTTCTCCTAGTCTGTTGGTGTAATATATTCCAAGAATATTGACTTTTTTGTCATAAATTCATCCTCTTTACATTTAAACTTTGTAACTACTCTGTTAACCAATTGAAGCTGCTGACCAGATTCCAGACAGATTTTAGGCTATTAGTAAGGAATTTCTGTTGTTGAAGTATAGATGTCTCTCCTGCAAAATGTCCCTTGTGGTCAAGGTTGTAGCCAGAAGGGAGTCCAGCCATCCTATGGACACTCATTTATGGAAGAAATACAAGGAAAAATCACTTAATCTCTTATAATTTTATGGGAAAACATGTCTCCTGGACGGCCAGTTTTCAATGTCTGGTTAAAAGCCTGCTCACAGTTAGGGGGTGGATTTGTACGTAGATACATGTAGATGACTGTGTGCATAAAGTTTTAAGTTTTCTTAACTTTCTATTACATACTTTTAATTTTTAAAATACCCAGTGGCTATTTGTCTGGGGCCTGTACACCAACTTGCATTTGTGACTCATATAGGATTCTGACTTTGTTGATTAGGGTAAAGCACTGACCATATCACTGACTCATAATGGTTAGCTTCTATCTAGGGTTAGTGTTGTTGCTATGTACATGATGAAATCAAAGACTTACTTAGTAGCGAATGCTCATTGGTATAGTGATTTAGGTAGTCGGTTGCAGATGCCACGTCCCGGGTTCGATTCTCAATCTTGCCACACTGAAGTTTTTTCCTTAAGAATTGCCACTGATTTTTTTCCTTAAAAATTGAGGAAACTTACACTTTCATGAACATTTGTTGAGCAGCTCAGAAAGTTCAAGAAACTTAGAAATTTCATACAGATTTCAAGAGGAGACTTAATCCCGTATGAATAAGCAAATACAAATCGGTGCACGGGTCCTGTACAAATAGCCAGTGGCATTTAAATAAGCTTATGTTTATTACTAAGCTTATAAATTATTTTCAAAAAGATTAGTACATTAAACTACGTCTTTTTTATGAAATAGTACTGAAAAAAGGCTAAACATGTACACACCCCTTTTTGGGCGCCGAATTGATGACATCCACAGCTTCTCGAAAACAAGACTGATGAATCAGCGACACAACTTTACAATGAAATGCTTCCTTATCATCTGGTTTTTCTTGTAAAACTATAAAACAAAGAGTAGGATCAATAAGAATGAGAAAACAATCTATGGTGGGCTAGAAAAATTACCCTTACTTTTATTAGCAATTTTCTGGGCCTTTTCGAAATTTCCATCCTTTCCAAATCGATCTAGTTCAGTAAAAAGTTGAGGTATTGAAGGAGACGAGGCCGCCATCTTTGAATAAGAGCTTCAATCGAGCCGACAGTGTGCTGTCAGCGGTGAGCTTGCATAGTGAAAAAATCCTGGGACGGGGGTTTATTTTGTCACGTGTGTCCATCGCGCGAAATGCATGCTACGTATTTCAAACCTTCGCGGCGATTTCTCGACTTCAACGTGCTGTCTGATGGAGTTGCTTTTTCGCACTGGCGCTTGTCAAAATGGTAAGTTTTCGGTAGTAAGTTTAGTTCTTTGGTTACTTCCTAGTGTCTGTTTGTTTCCAGGCTTTTATTGGAGAAATTCTGCAAGTGCGGACCTCGTTGGTCGTTGCGCATACATGCAATACGGGCATGGTGAGCTTAACACAACCTTAAATTTTGAGTTGTTTCTAATCGTTAGTTGGAGATTTAAGCGTAAAATAATCACCACTTTTGATAATTTGCTTGCCGAGGAATATGTTCTCCTACAAGGTTGATTTTTAGCCTTTGAAATATCATAGAAAAGTGACACGAGTTTACCATATCTCAAATTGAACAAGCTTATGTGCCCATCCCTAAAATAACTTAAATCTTGATTATCAAGATAAGCTTAAATGAAGTGATGAAATTGCAATAAGCGAATCATTTTCTGCGTTTTCCTGAGATGTTACTTTAATACAAGTGGAACCGAAATTGTATTCTTTAGCAGCAAATGAATTTAAATTCTTCTGTATTTTGTCGTGGTATTCCTTGGGTGGTAATAATTTTATTATAGTTAATGGTAATCTTGTATGTTACCGAGCTTCAGCTCCTACTTTTAATTTGTTCATTTATTTTTAATTCTCAGAAATTAAACATTTTATGCACCAGTCAATGTAAATTCTGAACGTGGACAAAGACTTGTGAGAGAAAGATAACCTTGTCTCTCCTAGGTTGGCAAATGTTTTCATGTAGTGTCCCTGCTTCATTGAAGAATCGTTTGGTTTCATTTTCTACTTAAATTGTTGCTTTTCCTGGGAAAAAGAAATGTTGTTTCATTACTTTGTTTGTACCTTTTGAAAAAGGAACAGATCAGATCAGATCAGTGATCCATCTACAAATTTATTTCAGAGTTCTGGGACTCACCAGTCCATCCATGAAGCAGTGCTAAACCCAATCAACGAGTCCCCTATTGAAGTTTGGATTACCATGTGACATGTAATTTTTTTCTTTTTGTGTTCTGTGCAACCTTTGTAGGACATGTAGTTTTTCTTTTTATCAAACACCAGCCATGAAAAGACTTGAACCATAGATTAGTTTTCTTCTGTATGAAATGGGAATGCTTTTTGAAAAAGATAACTTTCCCACAATGATTAGCAAAATTAATGAGAGTCCACAGCAAGACACAGTTTTTACTTGTGTTTGGGATGCATGTGAGTGATATCCTTCCAGCCATCAACTTGGTTGTCTATTAAATTGGAGGTAGTAGCATCCCTGGGGGCAGGTCCAACCACTGCTTTGCCTTTCTTGGACTTTCTTGCTGTCTTTTGCACCATTGGCGGCTTGTTTTATGTATGCATCAACTTTATTTAAAGAGGTTAACATTAAACAGTAAACTGACAAACCTGCAGCCCTCATTATTCAACAGTTAACAATTACAATTAAAAATATACATAGAATAATCTGAAATTAAAGTAAATTAAAAATACAACTAAAAATCTGTGAGTAGGAAGTAATCAAATAATAAAAATTGCAACAAAGAAAATTAAGAACATACAAAAAAGTCAGTTGAGGCCTTTTTATGACTGCACATTTATGTGCAAATTCAATCTTCTTTAAAGAATTTGGTATTGTATTCCATGATCTTGCTGCCCTCACACTAGAAGTTTGCCCCACTTCGGTTTCACCCTTAAACCAGGGCAGACTAAGTTCAAGGCTCAGCTATTTCGGCTATTCTGATCATGTCCAAATTTGATTCCAAAAGATCATTCATGTAGCTTAAGCTATGTCCATAAATACGCTTGTAAACTTAAATACAAATGTTTACTTTCACCTCAAGGTGAAATAGTTCAACACTGTTTGCTTACCTGTCAGCGTCAAGTTTGCTTGTGGAGACGAAAAACCCTCTGCAAATTCCCAGTGGAGCACGCGGACCATATAGTGGAGGCATACAGCATTATTTGCTTAATCCTTCTCAGCATGGCAATTCGTTGGCAGAGCTTATTACAGAGTTTGTCGATATGGTCATCAAAAGAGAGTTTGTGATCAATTGTGACACCTATAAGAGTTTTTGCGAGCTCTCTTGTTTAAGTTCAGTTGCATTTAATTTAACTTGCAATTGCTTGTTATTCATTCTTTTCTCAATCCACTTACTGGTAGCGAGCATTGCTTTCGTCTTAGTTTTATTGAGAATCACTTTGTTGTTCTTTGACCACTTCTGCGATCTATCCAAATCTGATTGGAGAACATCACTGGTAGCCTGAGGTGCTACTCAGTAATCAGTGGAATAACTAACTGTAGTATCATCAGCAGATTTGTCTGCTACGGTGCTCTGTAGTGCCAAGGGAAGGTCATTTATGAATACAAGAAACAGTACCGGACCCAGGATGCTACCCTGTGGTACACCCAGTTATAATAAATAAATAAATAAAGTGTCTTTATTGTTCAAAAGATAAAATTACATATCTTATGTTACATTTAAATATAACAATGTTAATGGGTTAAAGTATGTCTGTAAATAAGATTAGTATATACATAGAAACAAATACAAAAATCGAATACAGAAAGTACACTATTTACAAAGCTACATTATACTTAAAGACAATTCTGTTAAAGAATGTATTCTTAAAATGGTCCGTGTGAATGGCGGGCATTGCCGGAGATTTATTCCTTAAGTTGTATCTAGTAATCTTAGTCTCAGGGAAATTAGTTGTCCCTTGTACTAGAATGAGATCCATCAACGTTTACATATTGATTACCACCTCTTGTGTAATCAGTAAATAATGGCAAAAAATCCTTTCCAATGCCTATCAGCTCAAGCTTTGATAACAGCAAGTTATGGTTGATGATGTTAAATGCCTTTTTGTAATCAACAAAGACAAGACCAGTACTTTGTCAATGTCGAGATTAAACAGAATCTGATCCATAAGCTGTATTAGTGCTGTTTCAGTAGAAAACTCTCTCCTAAAGCCAGACTGGAAATTGTGAAGTAAAGCATTGTCCCTCAGAAACTTACACAAGTAATCACAGGCATACCTCTCTAAAAGTTTTGACATAATTGGTTGGTTGGTCGTTGGCTTCTGCTTGTTTGTTAGCTACCTGGTCTGAACTGCCCTGTTCTTTGTGTTTGTGCTTTCTGTGAAATTTAATGCCTAAACATTTTTGATCTCTGAAATGGCCACCGAAGCAACTGGACCAAGTTTATGGCAGTTTTGTTTACATGCTGGCTTGTTGTTAGGCAACTGAAGATGCCCAAGGGATAGAAAGAAAGAGATATTCATGACCAAAGCAGGGTCACAGTTCTCTTAGTGATTCTCACGCGAGCTACATATGATGTGAATTCTGACAAGAAATTAAGTCTCGCTAACTCAATGGCTTTACAGCTAGCTGTTGCTTTGCAAGAAAAAATAATGCTAATAATAGAAATAGTAATAATCATGGTTCACTGGTAACTTCTCCACAGTGCAGCTCTACATTTACCAATATTTATTCAAACCATGCATCAAAAACTATACTATATGCTAGACACTATACTATACTCAATACTAACCTAGATAAATAATCTAGGAGGAAAATACTGACTTGCAAATTGAGCAGATTAACATACTGAAATCTTGGGGCCTTAGCTTTAGTAAGACAGTAGAAAGGGCTTTGCTTCCCTACTAAAAATGTTATAGTAGCCTGATCTCAGGAAGCATTTGTTATTTGCAGGATTTCTACTTGAATACCACTGGTTGGTGTACAATTAAGTTCAAATACTCAGGCCAAAAGAGGCTGTTAGGAGCTCTGAGTGCTAATTGAAGTAAGCCCAACTGTCTTTGCTATTGCATTGATAAGCAATCAAGAGACAACATATTACACAGAAGTTTATCTCCCTGCTACTAAACTGGTGGCTGCCTTTTGTATACAAGGAATGGGTTTCTTGAGATATTCTGGGAGGACATGTTATTGTTGTTCACCAGCTTCGATATCACAGGTGACTGGACAATGGTTTTGTCCAAACTAAGCGAAGCTTGGGTTTGAGCTTTCTGAGTATTGCTAAAAGTAGCAAAGCATAATTAGGCAGTTGCCTTTACTTTGTCCTCCTACTTCAGGTGCTGATGAAGGTGGAGACCAAGGAGCTTGGGCTTGGCCTGTTGATGTGCTAGACTTAGACACTTTTGTTTGTTCTGCACACGGTAGTACATGTATCTGTAGGAGACTCGTTTTGGGTTATTTGAAACTACAGTGTATGTGATCAATGAAAGTTTTACTGGTTAGCGTGACTCTTGTTGGTCTTTGTACATGTTGGCTCTGATTAAACGTACTTGTAAACCATACTGCATATCTTTATATACAATGTTAGCAACACTACAGATATAGACCAAAACAATATTAAACTTTAAGCTAAAACAGCTGTTTCACCAAATGCCTCTTCACCAAATGTCTCATGTCATGAACAGTTGTTGATGTACTGTAGATTCCCTGCTGTAACATTGTTAATTTTATGCATGTTGCTGTGCTTAGGGCACAAATTCTAGGTTTCTGTAAGTTGCTTGGTCCTTCGTTTGTATGCCCAACAATAGTAGACATTTAAACAATTTGTTTATCCTTCTCTGACCTGAGTTGGTTCCTGCTGGTAACATTATGCCTGCCATCTTGCCCACTTTTTTAGCTTGCCCCTATAGTGGCAATCTGTGGATATGTAGGGTAATTCAGCATCTCTGTTCATAGAAACCAGATATATTTTTGTGCCCACTCTCTTAGACAAAGTGGTATTTTGAAATGTGTGTTAAGCAATGCTAACAAATAAGCCAAACACTGTTCCCTATAGACATTTTGTCCTAGTAGAAGACTTATGATTATTTTCCTTGACTG